GCAGACAATCTGGCTTCTTTTCACTTGCTTCCAATTTTACTTTTCCAGAGGATGTGAAAAAGGCTTTGCTGACTCTTATGGGAGAGACGATCTAAACTTCAAGTAGAAAGTGAGACAGGTGCTGTGAGTCAGGGGTGGGTGGAGAGAAGTTGAGGAATCAGAGGGATTGTGACAGACCACTGTCCTACTTTGAGCTGTGGCTGGTGTCGGACTGATGGGGGAGATCATATGGCCCAGGGGATAGCTAGAAGCAACCTGTAGCTAATCCATATATTTACTTAACAAAGACAAAATCTTCGGGTTCCAGGCTGCTGAATGAACAGAAAAGGCACTGTTCACCCAAACAGGGCACACAAAGCCTTGAGCATAGTCTTCACACTTCTGGGTTCTTTACTGACCAGCGTTTCCAATTGTTCCCTCAAAAATGCTAGCCCTTAGCCACTTAGTCTACCTGCTTTGCTTTTCCTTAAGCCCAGATGATCAAATCACTTATTTTGACTGCTATAGAGCCCATGGTGTGGCTGTACATGCAAAGGCAACCTTTCAGATTGAACTTTGGTGCTACTCATGAACATTGAGACATATTTTCTTTTTGTTTTCATTCTCCATTGAGGCTTTTCTACTCCCCTCAGAAATCAGCTCCTTTCAGTGCCAATCGTAGCATACCCTGGAACACAGTTCATCCTTCATGATCCCAGGAACACATTGTTTCCCCTACCTTATAAACACAGGCTCAGTGAGACCACACAGAAGTGTTCTGGAGACCACATCTGGCGCTTCTCAGTATAACATCTTAGTTTATGAAAGGCTTTATGATAACTATAAAGTCCACCAACCTATGGATTCGTTGTTGCTTAATCTTCATTTCATATGTGGTGTGGTTGAAATAACATGGTTATTTCATGATTCATTGGGGATTCAAATGTATCCCCTCATATTGTCCATCCCATGCTTATCCAGAGGACACTGTAGAACACTGAATTTCTCAGAGACACTTTTGGACATCTCAGCTTTCTCTACACCTTTGTATTAGTTACTTTTCTGTTGCTGTGATAAAACACCATGACCAAGGGAACTTATAAAAGGAAGGATTTATTTGGCTTAAGATTCCAGAGGGATTAGAGTTCATCATAGCACAGGAGGCATGGTGGCAGAGATGGTCACAGCAATCACATCTTCAAGCAGGCACAGGACGCGGAGAGAGCAACTGGAAATCTGGCAAGGCTTAAGATCTCACAAAACTGCCCTCAGTCATGTGCTTCCTGCAGCAAGGCCACACCTTCTAAGACCTCCCAAAACACCACCACCAACTAGGAACAAAATGTCCAACTACTTGGAGCCTTGGGGGAGAGGTAATTATCATTCAAATCACCACATTCCACTCCCTGGCCCCTATAGGCTCATGATCATATAAAATGCAAAATGCATTTAGCTCACCTTCAAAGGTCCTTATAGTCTTTACTAGTCTCAATACTATTCAAAAGTCCAGAGTCCAAAATCTTTTCTGAGACTCAAGGCAATCTCTCAATTGTAAACCCCTGTAAAATCAAAGACAAATTACATACTTCCAACATACAATGGAACCTAATATACATTCCCATTTCAACAAAAGGAGAATGGAGGTATACTGAAGAAATACCAAAGCAAAACAAGACCAAAAACCAGCAGGGAAAACACTAAATCCAGTAGCTCCATGTCTATCTTCTGGGATTTTTCTTCCAAAGGGCTTAGATGGCTCAACCCCTCCTGCTTTGCTGTTTGCAACATACATCTCACTCTTGGGCTGGTACCACTCCCTGCATGCAGCTCTTCTTGGCAGATATCTCATGACTCTAGCATCTCCAGCAACTTGGAGTCTCCATTGCCAACCAGGTTTTATCTTCACAGCTTCTTGCAATGGCCTATCAGGGCCTCTTGTCCTGTCAGGGCCTTCTTTATGTAGGGACATGTGTGTTATACACTGCCTGGCCTCAGTCACTCTCTAAAACCATGGAGAAAGAACCAATGACCTCTTCACTTTTGCATCATTCATGCCTCTAAAGCTAGCACCATGTGAACAACCCTGTCAAGTTCGGCCACCAGCCTGGCATGAATCCTGGCCTGATTCATCCGTATTAGCAGTTTTTCTATGATGTAGTTTTCTAGGAGCAGAAAAACTCTTCAGCATTTTCCTTTCACAAGTTGTGGTCTTGCCATGAAGTTACTCTTTCCATTGTTTAAGTGCAAATCTATAGGCCTCTCCTTCACGGCTTTAATCTCCTCATCAAAGAGAGCCCCTCCTTCAGCACATGCCTTGTCTGCAACATTACTCTTCCTAATGTTCTTCTTCAATCAAAACTGTACATTCTGCATTTCTTTCTGCCCCACTTGCTCTTTTTTCATTGTAAGTCTTTATAATATTTACCATTAATAACCACACCATCGATTCAATGTTAGGCTGTCTTGAAATTTCATCCAACCAAAATTAGTCTATTACTTTTCAACTTAGCTTCAGCAAAGCTGTTTGGCTGGGGGCTGACTCTAGCCAGATGCTTTGCCAAAACAGCCCAGTTGTTTAAGTCCTTATTTCCCTCTGGAACTACTCTACTCTCTGTGTTACTTTCTTCTAGCCTCCTACTATAACTGCCTGTTCAGCTCTGCATACAGCAGTCAACTACATTTTTAGTTCAAACTTCCAAAGTCTTCCACATTCCTCCAAAAACCCACATAGTCAGGTCCTTATCATCAGCACTCCACTTTCAGTACCAACTTTTGTGCTAGTTATTTTTCTGTGGCTGTTATAAAACACTGATCAAAGAAACATCTAGAAGGAAGAATTCATTTGGCTTATGGTGAGAGGGTTAGAGTCCATTATGGTCAGGGAGGCCTGGCAGCAGAGGTGACCAGAGCAGATAGCCAAATGGTCACATTTTTAAGCAGCCACAGGAAGCAAAGAGAGACTTGAAATCTGGGAAGGCTTAAGAACCCTTCAAGCCTGCCCCCAGTGACATGCTTCCTCCAGCAAAACTGCACTCCACCCCCCAGTCAGGGGACAAAATGCCCAAATAACTTGGAGCCTATGGAGACATTCTCATTAAAACTACCACAACCTTGAAATGTATCTGTTTCTAATTCTTCCTTTCTTGTCTCAGGGGAAAAGTTGATTCTAATATGTGTCCTTAAAGTTCTCCCCTTTATCTCTGAGTGGCCTGATTTAAGGCTTTAGTTCACTTTCAGTTCTGTTCCTCTGACTCAATTCACTTTCTGAACTCGAGCTGTTGTTTTGAACCACTTAAAGAGCACTTTCCTGTTCTTATACCTTTATAGACAGGTCAATCACTCTCCACACATCCTTCCCAAACCACAGCTCTCCACAGCTCACTCCCAGTCAACTCTATTTTTCTGGAATTATCCATGCACTTCTCTGTCTCTATGCTTTGGCATATATTGTTGGAAGGGCTCTTCTTTTTGTTATTTGTGGAAATTCAATTCATTCCTAAATTCTATCCATTCAGCTCAAAGTATTATACCTACTATGAATATTTCCCACCTTTTCTAATCGTTTTGAATGGGTATTCACTGTGTTGTCAAAGTATTTTGCTTATTGGAATAACATTACATGAGAAGATTGTCTCCGTCTCTCTCAGCTTATAAAGTGTTCACACAGTGAACACAAGAAGATTTTACTTATCATCAAAGCCCTCAATAATAAGCATGGCCCTTGGCCTTTTGTTTTTGAATGAGCAAAGAATAAATGCTAACACAATTCCTGTTCTAACTTTTCAGCAGCTCTCAAAAACTGAATGATCTGTTTTTTTTTTTTCTTTTAATCTCCATTTCAAATTTTTACTATTATCCTGGGAGTTTTTTTTTTAATTGCTTGCCATGTGAAAATATTGAGCTTTAGCTGAAAAATAAAAAAACTTATGTATGTACTATATGAAATCCTGAAAAAAACAAGAGAATGATGCATCAATTTTCTTCTAAAAGTATATTACCTCATGCATGTGGTGTCACAGAAAAGCATCCCTAAATTAAAATTTATACTTAATAATTAAAAAATAAAACAATAAGAATTGGTCATTTTCCACGCACGATGCTTGCCAGGCATAGTGACTCATGCCTATAACCTTAGCACTGGGGGAACTGAGGCAGGAAAAATTTCTATGAGTTGGAAGCTAGCTTGCCACACAGTGGGTACTGAGTCAGACTATAATACACAGCCAGACTCTACTGTTGAACAATCTCATGTTTATATATCACAAAATGGTAAATTTCAGTAGATTGAAATAATGACCTTGAAGCTGGGGAGGGAAAGTCAGTGAATGATACAAGTCAGAATTTACTGAAAGCAACATGACTTTATTACTTTCAATGCTATAATTGGTCAATAAAGTCTAAGGACACATTTACTTAATGTAATGAATCCTTATTTTACAGCTGAATCTTTTTGTCTAAATACCTTGATATGCCAGAGTCATGAAAACAACATATTCTGACACGTCAGAGCCATGAAAACAATGTATTTTTTCACATGAGTTATAAGTTTTCTCTTTCTGTGCTTAGCAAATCCATTCCTTACAGACCATTCAAAGGGAAATTTCAGCTTAGTCTAGACCAAAGGACATGTGTAGCAGCAATATCTGAATTGATAAGGTTTTATTATTTTCATAGAAGAAGGAATTTTTAAAGCTAAAAATACAGTTCAGTGTCTCAGGGAAGTGATAGTTTTAAACTAAAGATGGAAAAAAATGTAAACTTTTCAAATAGGAGCTATACCAGTTATTCATCAAGTTAGATAAAATTGAAAACCACCTTCAAAACCTTTGCCTTTCTTGGTAAATTCCTTGAGTATTTCAGTCATGGTTTGCTAGTTCCTCCTCCCACTCTCTGAGACCTTATACACTTCAAGATGACCCCTGGGCTGTGGGTTCTGTGACCACTATCACCACAGTAGGTACTATGAAGTTGCTTTGCTTATCTAAGTAGCTGAGGCAAAACACAAGCAGGACGTTACTCACCGATCCTGGGTGCAGGCTGCAAGGAATACACTAGCCTCCATTCTGGAAAAGAAGAGAAAGGAAATTTCTGTTACCACCACAATCAAAGACATTTATACAATGGTCCACACGAAGATGGCTCACAGTCTCTGATACTTTACTTGTAACAAGGAAAGTGAGGGTGGAAAAGGATCACAAAATGAAGCTCCTTAACCCTTGTGCTGCTGGGCTAATAAAGAGGTGTCAGTTTTAGAGGTGTCAGGTTTGGAGTCTCCTAGTAGGAAAACTCATTAAGTTTACATTTCACGACACAAAAGACGTTTTTGTGCTTGACATCTCTGGAGCAGGGAGAAAAAGCTGGGGAAGGGGGACCTGGGGAATGGTCGTTCCATGGAAGAAATTTCCCTTGACTCTTGACTTCTCACAACGTATCAGCACATTAACATATGATCATATTTCCACTTAAAATCTTTGTGTAAATTGAGTTCTTAGGATAAATGTGTTTATGGAACTATAATAATAGGATAAATATGCCAGGTGCATCCTTGAGCACTGAGGGTCAGTGGTTCTCTATTGGGTTCCTTAGTTTGCAAGGTTTGGAGGAGGGAATGAACTGACAGCCAGGAAAAAGGGAAATAGCTCTGAGGGAGGTAATCCACAGACTTTCAAACTACTCAGAACCAATGGGAGTGTGTTTTGCAGGGAAGGTGTGAGAAAGGTCTTTTCATCCTAATGATCAAGAAGGGCCTCTTCTGCTAGCTGAAGTTGCTCAAATTGAACATAGCCATGGGTTCAGCCAGGTGTGCGGAGAAAGAGCCTTTGCCCACACAGAGAACAATTCTAGGGAACTCTGCGCAGTAATCATATCTCCAGCACTTGCCTTTTTAGCTTGCACAGTTCTAATCCTTCCCTTAAACAACCCCTTATATAAGTACATTATATGTATTATAATATATTATATACTACACCACATATTTTATATAATAATTATATTTAGAATATAATACATACTATACTATGTGCTTACATATATTTGACGTACACATATAATGTTTCACTTTCTTCATGCTTTAAAAAAATCTCTTTCAAAATGTTGATTCAAATTTGAACAAGTACTCAAGAGCGGTGTGGTTTAAGCCATGCTAGGAATGTTAATTCTCCGTCCTTTCCTGTTCCATTTAAATAAGCTTCTGCCGTTATGACTCATTTATAATATTGCTTTTTCAGTCCTAATTGAGACCACAAATCCTCTTGGCATTTGTCTTTTTAATCAGTCTTTCAGCAAATTTCATTTATGCGAACATATACCAGGTTATATTTGTGTCAACGAAATGTTCTGTTTCTAGGATTAAAAAAAAAAAACAAAAAACAAAAAACAAAACATCCAGAGACCTTTCTGCACTGTGGTGCTAGGAGTTTCCTAGTATAAGGTATCAGTAGCTCTACTTGCTTTAGTAATTTCTGCATTTTGGATGAAAGTATTTATAAGTCATTTATAAAGTTCATCAATAAATTATGAGTTCTTCCATAGAGGAGATCCCCACAGGTTGGAATCTGATATATAATCCACAGCTCCAACCCACTTTAATGTAATTGCACCTGGACTTTACCTGATCACCTACGTAACAGTAGCGTGATTAAGGTCATACTTTCTTGACTTGGTAATAAGAACATTGTTTAGGCTAGAACTCCAAATCTTCTTCCATACAGCATTTAACCCAGCATGTTATCCTTATTTATGCGGTCCATCACTTAATCATGGAAAGAAATTAACCTGGTGCAGAAAAATAGCTACTCAAGTGTCAAATGAGTCTACCTCTTTATCTTAGATGGTATTCTGGTAAGTCACATATTGATTACATGATGGATTGCTCTCATCAAACATCTCTCTTTAGCTATCTGGCTTATAATGATCAAGTCATTTTCTTAAAGAATATGGACATGTCAGTGCTTTCCTCCGTTCCTACGAGGGCTCAGATAGAATGGCTATGCAAGGTCAACTGTCAAGTTCTTATGTGTACTTGAAACCTGACATTAGGGCATAATGAGCTCACCCAGAGACTGGATACTTTTTCTTGGTCTACTTACTCTCTCCACATCTCACAGACTGAACTGTATTAGCTAGCTAAATGTATGTCTCCCACACTGTGCAGTAAAGTTGATCACTGTGATGATCCAGTTTTATTCCTCTTTATAACTTGGTGGAATCTAGTTTGGTGTCAAGCACAAATGTATATGAAATTAAATTAAAGTTTTGAGAGAGACATATCCTTAAAGATTTGATAAAAAGACAAGAAAGGTTCACAAATTTGCGTTTAAGGGAAAAATAGTTTCTGTCATCTCCTAATAACAGTATTGGAATGTAGTGCTCTTAAAAGGCTTTGTTCATGATGTGAAGTCTAAATAATTGTTATTTCTACATATATATCTAAATTTTTTATTAATGATTATGTGTGTCTGTATGTGTGTGTGCACTTGTGTTCAGGTGCCCACAGAAGTCAGAAGGGAGCATCAAATCCTTTGAAACTGGAATTACAGATGTTTGTGAGCCAACTGATGTGGGTGGTAGAGTCCCAACGCTGGTCTTTTTACAGAGCAGGAAATGCTTCTTAGCTGATGGGTCAATGTCTTCAGCCCTCTACTTATATTTTAATATATGGACAGCCTAGGATGTTGGGCTCAATCTACACAGTCAATGTAGACCGACTTACCAGCTTCATGATCTATTAAATAATATGAATATTCCTCCATGGTCAACCTCCCATTCAGTACGCATGTTTTTATATTGTGCTTACAAATTGATTATAGAGCTAAGACTTAGGTAGTGGTCTATACAAGCTATTGGAAGAAGATTTTCTCCTTTGTCCCATTTCTTTAATCTGAGTCATTCTACTTTGCTTTTATTGGGAACAAGTTGTACCTGCTGAAACTTGATGCAAACACAAAAATATTGAATACATCCATTGTTGTGATAGAAAATCAATTTTCTAAAAAAATCGTACTTCCCTTATTTTTCTCCTCAGGGCTGGAGAGCTTTATGGAGCTTCAATAATATAAAGAGTCATACAGAGTTTATACTCGGCAAGAGAGCACAAATGTGACCACACGTATTTTTTCTTAGGAGAGCTCAAAGTAATTTCCTGGCCACATGATACATTAATAAAGTTCTGGGGCAGGAGAAATGACTCAGCAGTTAAGAGCACTGACTGTTCTTGCAGAGGATCTGAATTTGATTCCCAGCACCCACATGGTGGCTAACAACCATCCATAATTCCAGTTGTGAGGCATCTGACGCCCTCTTCTGACTTCCATGAGCATTGCATTACATGTATGAACATACATACATGCAGGCAATACACTCATGCCTGTAAAATAAAAATAAATAAAATAAAAAATAAAGTTCATAGCCATCATCCTTCTTTAAGAGAAAAATCTAAGATGGGGAAGGTTAGACAGCTTCCTAAGGCCATACAGCAATTTGTCAAAATTGAAACAAGATTACATTTGGATTTCCAAAGTCTTGTTCTAAGATTTAATTCTTTTATTTTTAAGTGTGTGTGTGTGTGTGTGTGTGTGTGTGTGTGTGTGTGTGTGTGTAGGCACATCAGTGCAGGTGCCTGAGCAGGCCAGAGGCATCAAATCCCCTGGAGCTGGAGTTACAGGTGGTTGTGAATGACCCTGCATGGGTGTTGGGAACTGAACTCGGGTCCTGTGCAAGAGCAGAAAGTGCTTTTAACTGCTGAGCCATCCCTCCATCTACCCTCACAAATCTTTGTTCTTTATAATAACCAAGGTTTTATTTTTCCAGGTAAACCTTACTGAAACATGGTTATCTGCACTCTCTTAATTTCTCACATGATTATTTAGATAAAAAAAAAACATGGTAGTGATGTTTAGGTCATTTTCTATGTAATATTTAGTTACTAGACTTAAAAGCTTATCCCAGCATTTTCTTTGAAACATTGATGTGATCTAGCTGTAACTTTCCCCTCTCCTATTAAATTGCTGGAATGCACAGTTACTCAGTCAATAAGAGGTGCAGTAACAGCCAATAGGCACTGGATGCTTACTAAGCAGCAGACAAGCTGCCAGAGCTTTTTGTGGACCTTCAGTTTCACATAAGAGGAATCTCATGGGAATACACCAAGTGTTCTGCTCAGGGACTAAATCTGGGTGCTGCCAGAGCTGCAGTTTCATAAATAAACCAAACCCACAATCATCATCCACGTTTCCTAGTTCCAGTTCCACTGAAGGGGTGAGAACTTAAAAAAAAAAAAAAAAGGCAGGATCCTTTCAGATTTGCATTTTCTTTTTCCTAACAATTTACTATTATCTTTTAGACATCAAATTTTATAGCTCTTGATAATCCAAATTCATTAATTTTTTTTCAAAATATATTCACAGGAATATCAGTTCCCTTTTTTCATATGCCATTGTTTTATAATTTGTAATTGAATTAATATCTGAATGAAGACAATTGACACAGCAGGTCTGAGAAGAAATACAAGTGACTCTTGGCCCACCTGTATTAGTATGTACAGGACCAGAAGTTTACAGGCGGCCTGGAGGGCTCCTGGTGTTGACTGGCTGACAGCATCAGTCTATAGGTTATATGTAGGGAAAGAGCCAGGTGGGATTTTTTTTCTGTTGATTGTTTGCTTTTATGGATTATATTGTTTTCTGGCAATGTTATACATGTATATAGTTTACCTCATCCTCTCTTACTGACCTCTTATCACCCATAGATTCCCATCTCATTCCTTTCTGTTTTGCTTTGTGACCTACTGATTTCAACCAGGACCATCTGTGTGGCCAAAGGTTTGGAATTATCTGTTGGAGCCTGCTGAGAAGGCAATGGCTGTCCCTCATCTAGGTCTATCAGTTGGAAATAGTTCAGCAGAAGGGTTAGGGCCCCATGAACCTTCTAGATCCATGATTGGCTATTGACAGGTCCAGTCTTTTGCAGGCCAGCCAGGTGTTTAATCAGGAAAATCATTGAAGAGGAGGCCAGTACAAAAAACCTAATATATTTGATATTTTATGTATGTATTACTTTGATAAAA